ACTGGCAGAGGTGTCCATGTGCCAACCCAGGGCACTGCAGCCCCTGTGACAGGGGAAGTGCCATTCACCTTGTGTGGTGGATGAACCTTGTCTGGGGACACTGCAGTGCAGGGCACATTCAAGACTGAAGAATGGTAGAAAAACGTAAATTGAGGTTGGGTGGCAACAGGGCTTTCCCTACATCTTCCAGCACTGCTTGTGTGGCTGCTCCTTAACACAAAACAGGGAAACGACCAGCAATGAATGACTTCTCCTGAGCTCGTTTTGGTGGAGAAAAGCTCTGCTGCCCATGTGTTTCCTCCTCCTCCTCCCAGGGCCAGGCAGGAATGTAGCAGTTGAGAGGCTGGGTGAAGTTCACCCTTCCTGAGAAGCTCCTCTTGCTTGGGCACGTCCCAAGGGATGTCGTGGTTGTGGAGGGCAGGTTCTCCTCGCTGCTCTTGGGAGACCCTGAGAGTGTGGAGCTGTGGGTGCTGTCGGGACTTGTTGGGAGCACCAGAAATGCTCCGTGTGGCTCTGCCTGTGCTACAAACCCTGTCCTACCCTACCCTGCTCCTCTGAGTCACCCCCTCCACCCAGCCCTCCCTGGAGAATTGCAAAACCCACTGTCTATAGAAGCTTTCCTGGTGTGCCCAGCACTTCTGGGGCAAAGCTGACGATGCCATCGAGTGTTAGAGGTCGGCCAAGGGGGGAAGGAGGGACTCCTTGGGCTGCCCTGGCTCCTTGGGTGGCAGCTCCTTCCTCACCTCATGGCCAACACTCTTGATCAAATAGTGAGAGAAGCTGGGGGCAAGTGACACCATCAGAGCTCTTGAACCTCACGGGGGTAATGAAAAGAATAAATAAATTTTTTGGGGTGTCTTGCTAAAAAAAAGAATCACAGGAAAATACAAGTTGGCTGGACCAATTCCTTCTGAATTTCCCTCTCCCTCTCCCCTCCCTTCCCTCTCCTCTCTCTTTTAAATATCTTTCTGGTTTTGTAACTAAAATTAGAACCAGAAATGTGATTTCAAAATGCAAACTGGAGAAAATTTCCCCTTGGTTTATTGTGCCTATGAAGATCTTGGCTTTTCTTTCCCCAGATCTTTAAATCCAGGACGGGATTAAACCTCTCCTGAGCTCACCTGCTGCCACACTCCAGTTCTCTGTTTTCCAGTGTTTTCGCTCTGCAAAACAAACCCCAGACAGGCCAAGTGCCCCCAGGTCCCCAACCCCAAATTCCTTTACAAATAACACGGACAGCACTGCAGTGCTTAGCCCTGGAAATGGTTTTCCCACTGTTTCAGGTGGGCAAACCTGGTTCCAGAGGTATTTGAGGCTCCTACCACTTTCCAAGCTTGTTTTTATTTAACCTTTGGCAGGCTCTACGCCTGGAAGTTTTATCTCCTTCACCACGCAGCAGTTCAGCAAGGCTGGGAAGGAGGGATCCGAACCAAGGTGTTAGTAGCAGGTTATCTGGCACTTAATGGGGAGAAGAGATGCGAGATTCTTTTGGCACAGTGGTACTTCTTTTCCCTCCAAAAAAAAAAAAAAAAAAGAGGAGGAAAAAGGATTTTAATTGAAGCCTGCAATGTTGTATAAATGGAAGATCTAAGTTTTAATTGAAAAATAATTATAACCACTTAATCATTTTAAATGAGGGCTGTAATTGCAGTCAGTTCATAATAGCCAAATACAGACACTTAGATTCCCGCAATAAAGCAGGGATGGTACAGCTTGATTTGCTAATAGCTCTTCCACTTCTCTCCTCTTTTGTCTCAAAGATTAATTCAGGCAAGGGCTATTAGTGCCGTTAATTGGTTCTGCAATTTAGACCTTGTGCTGGTGAATGAGTGAGTGATGCAGACCCATCAGCCAATAATGTGAACACTTTGTCAATGTGTTGCTCATTGTCCGGCTCCTCAGAATTCCCGCGGCGGCTCCTCCGCCACCCAAGCCCGGCTCCCGGGGGGGATCAGGGCGAGCGGGGCTCCTCGGGGGTGAGGGATTCACTTAGCTTTAGATAGGTCACCCAGATGCCTTTGAAATCATTGCTGCCTTATGAATAAAATAATTAGGCAGCCGAGGCGTCCTCCTTGGCGGGGACAAATCCTGTATTCAGGAGGAATCTTGCCCTCTGTGCTGGAAGAAGGAAGTTCAGTGGGGTTGTGAGGGGTCCCCTTCCTTGGGGCAGCAGCACGAGTAAAGTCAGTCTAAATCCCTGAAATCCCAGAGAACCACACAAACTCGACTTTTTACAGGTGTTTTGGCCTCAGCATCAGTGATGGGCAGAGGGCACAGCCGGTGGGCACAGGCCTGAAGTGCCAGGGCAGAGTTAGGCTGGATCTCAGGAAAAGGTTCTTCCCCCAGAGGCTGGTTGGGCACTGCCCAGGCTCCCCAGGGCAGTGGGCACAGCCCCAAGGCTGCCAGAGCTCCAGGAGGGTTTGGCTGATCCTCTGGGGCACAGGGGGTGTCTCGGTCCTGTGCAGGGCTGAGGGTTGGACTGGATGATCTGTGTGGGTCCTTCCAACTCAGTCCATTCTGGGATTCTGTTCCTTGGAGCAGCCTGTGGTATCATTCCTTAGGAAGAACACCCAGGGAAGGCTTTGCCCTTGCCATGTCCATGTCGTGGGAGATAACTGAGAAGGTGCTCTCCCATCAAGTGGGTAAGTTTGGGTGGTCGAAGCAGTTCAGTCCCTGGGTATTTTCACTGTGAGATGCTCTCGGCAGAGAGAACTCTCCTTTTGGTTACAGTTTGGAACTTTTTGCTCGGGAATGATGCTACTCACACACCAGGGCCCTACTCTTCTGCCTGCTGTAAATTGGCAGAGTCCTTGAAACAAATGGATTGATGATTTGGACAAGATCTGTCCCTGTGCAGCACTTCCCACCCCAGAACCGACAGCACGAAACGGAGTCGATGGAACACAAAGTGAATTTCTCCTTTGAGTAATTTATTGAACACAATCCTTGGCTGCCAGGAGTCTTTTCTGTCTCCAGGTGGGTTGTGACAAACACAGGGAGTGTGTTTGTGCTCTGGCCTGGGGCTCTGTGTTTGGCTCTGTGATACTGGGAACGCTTTCCGTGATTAAGCTCTGTTTGACCGATACCGAGAGCAATGACCAGCCCCAGCACAGGGTGAGGTGTGTCACCAGCACTGGTATCGCTGTGCCCAAAACCAGCCCAGGGAGGGAGAGTGGATTAGGAAAGCACATGAATCACCAACACTGTTCTTTTGGGGAAAATGAGGAGAACGGGGTAATGTTACCTTTGAACCCGAGGGCTGTTGGTGACACGCGTGGAGTTGTCTTTTCCCTGGTTGGTGTTTAATTTCGGACACTGATTTCATGAGTGATGTGTAACAAACTTCAGTATTAGGCAGAACATTTTCAGAATTGATAATTGAGACTCTGGGATAAATAATCTGAAGTGAGAGTGACGTCTCCCTCATGGATACTCTCTGATGACTGCTCAGAGCTTCAGGAACAGCGTTGCTCTGCTTGGGGTGTAGGAACAGACTGGATGAATTCCCAAGGTCCCTTCCAGCTTGGTTCTCCCAAAAAGATGCAGAGCCAAAATAATCTCTAGGAGCCAATCACGGTGTTCCCACAAAAGGCTGGATCTTCTTCAGAAGGAGCTTCACAGGGAAGTCCTGGAGACACTTCAGACTGAGCATCTGGGAGAGACCCTTGAGCAAGGGTGAGTGTAGCCAGATGACAGTGGCCACCTCTTTGTGCTCCCTGATGACTTTCCACTTCCACCACCTGAATGTCACCCCACTGAGCTCCACTTCTTCTGAAGGTCCCTTCTGGAAGCCTCCATGTGCCGGGTGTGAGTCTGGTACTGCTGAAACAGGGCTTGTCATCCCCTCCCTCCCACGGGGAGCAGCTCTCCTGCACATCCCCCTTTCCGTACCAGCGGAAAACTGGGCAAGGAAGGAGGTTTTGAGGGATGGAGCAGAAAAGTCATTCTTTTCTTGCCCTGTTTTTTTGTCCATCCAAACAAGTCCCAATTCATATTTGGATGAGGGGTTTAAAGTGAATGAGGATATCCAGCTTCTCCTGTTTGTTTATTGCCCTTGGTGCTCCCCCAGTAAACTGTAGGTTTCCCCATTCCCTCCTCAGCATCTGCTGCCTGTCCCATGTGCTCCCAGCCTGCCCTCCCCCCAGCAAGGTCCACCCCAACCCCAGGGCCTGCCCTTTGCTGTGGGACTCCCTCCTTTACACACAAGTGTTTTGGTGGAGCAAACAGAGCAAACAGCCCCAGACAGAGGCACAGTAACAAATCATGGAATCAGCCAGGCTGGAAAAGCCCTCTGAGACCATCGAGTCTGACCATCCCCCAGCACTGCCAAGGCCACCACTAACCCACATCCCCAAGTGCCACATCCACAGGGCTTTTAAATCCCTCCAGGGATGGGGACTCCACCACTGCCCTGGGCAGCTGTGCCAGGGCTGGTTCAATCCCTGGGTGATCCATTCACTTAAGAGTTGGACTTTGATGATCCTTGTGGGTCCCTTCCAACTCAGAAAGTTCTGGGATTCAGTAAACCCTTTCCATGAAGGATTTTTCCCTAATATCCACCCTAAACCTCTCCCCTTGGCTCAAAAGCATCATCCTTGCCAGGGAAGGATTAGGGTCTCCATAATTTTTATCTGTTTCATCCATTTTAGGCACCTCTGTGCTTGTTCTCCCGGAGCTCAGAGTCGCTCCTGTGGGATCTCTCCGCTGGCTGTTCCAGAGGGATCTGCTGGTCCCCGTGGGACCTGTGCTGGCTGCACCTCTGCCTGGAGGGAGAAGGTAAACAGAGAGCGAGGCGTTCACGGAACAAACGGCTCTCGGTACCGGGCGAGGGAAAATTATCTCACCAAAAACAGATAAAGGGAAGGGGAGGTTCGTGTGGTGCCAACCAGGCCTCTCCTGACTCCATCCATGACGTAGGCGCTGCCTCCAGCTAAAAGTGCCCCGTGGCCTGGCTGCCTGCCCCACACCCGGCTCGGGGAGGCTCCTGCTCGCCTGGCACCATGTCCGTCACCATCTGCCAGTCCATGGGCTTCGTGGTGTCTGCCCTGGGCATCGGGGGCATCATCGCATCCACCTGCATGGACCAGTGGAGCACCCAGGACCTGTACAACAACCCGGTGACCGCCGTGTTCAACTACCAGGGCCTGTGGCGCACGTGCGTGCGGGAGAGCTCCGGATTCACGGAATGCCGAGGGTACTTCACCATCCTGGGGCTGCCAGGTAGGGCTCGCTGGCTCAGAGGGCACGGGGTGGGGGGCACCTGCCAGCAGCTCCGTGGGAGTGGCTGTGATGGGTGGTTTTCAGTGCAGAGCGGGAACCCCGAATTCCAGCCAGAAAGGATCTCGGGTGCTCCCCCGGTTTGGGTTAACAGGTCCCTTGGAGAGACCTCCACCCAAGCCCCCTCCCGTGGCCAAGCAACTCTGTCCTAACCAGAGTGGGGAGGATCAGCAAAACTCACCCCAGCTGATTCTGGATTGTGTTCCCGAGGTTTGTCCAGAGCTGCTCCGTGGGGCAACTCGTCCCCTGCGCCGTGGGGTCGATTCCTCCTGTAGAATTCCAGCTGTGTGGCTTCCCACCAGAAGCCACTAATATTCTTGTCATTGGAGCAGATCCTTTCCTAAGAGGATATGTCACAGTTTGGCTCACAGTATTTCGGGACGGGCTAACACCACCAGGCTGGATTTCCCCCTAATTCTCCTTTGGTTCCAGTTTTCTTCTTCCACGGGAATCATTCCCGGGCTGGTTGTGCCCGGAGTATCTCGGGGTGCAAACAATTAGGTTACAACAGGATTATCTGGGGTTTTTTCTTGCCTTAATACAGTGAGAAAAAAGGCACTTAGGCTGTTACACCCATCTGGCCTCTCTGCTTTGACACAGCGAGGATGGAGGGAAGAGCTGCTGTCTGGTGTTGGAGGTGCTGCAACATCCCAGAGCAGGTGCCAGGGATGTGTTTTCCTGGAAGGAAACGAGCCTGATCCTGCCTGGACATCCAAAGAAGGGTGTTTGTGCAGGGCTTGTGTTCCATCACAGTCAGCAAAGCTGAGCAGCTTCCCCGAGGGAAAACTCACAGAGCAAAGGGCAGGACAGGTCGGTAAAACTTGACTCCAGCAACTAATTACTGCTTTAATGGTTGGACTCGATGGTCTTAGAGGACTTTTCCAACCTTTATGGTTCTATAAAGAGATTAAAGTTGCCACATGAAGAATAAATTGAAGTGTAAAAACCCAAATCCTCCCCACACACAGATACACCCACAACACGCCGCAGAACTGCCTCAATTCTGCTGCTCTAAAAGCTTAAAATGACAAAAAAATGTGACTCCAAGGAAGAAGCAATTAAACTTTTCAAGTGTTCAGCTCTGGGAACTGCTTTAATCTTTGAAGAAACCAGACTAGTTGAGATTTGGGGGGTTTTGTTCTTTCCAAATATCTTTGTTGCTAAGCTCAGCGTTACAGCAAAAAGAAAAAAAAGGGATTTTTTTGGCAATTCCCAAACCTGCAGACCGGTGTCTGTAGGGTGGGTGTTAGTTTTCTAAAATGGAAATGTTGGGGGGGTGGATTTCCTGCAGGAGCAGGATTTTCCTGCTTTGAGACAGGCTGTGGGAGTTCAGTCTGCCCGTGTCCCTGCCCGTGGCAAGGGGCTGGAATTAGATGGTCTTTGAGGTCCTTTCCAACCTGTGATTCCATGAATCTGTGATTCCGTGAGTCTGGGATTCCTCACCTCCATCCCACAAGCTCCGTGGATCCCTCTCAGCCATGACAGAAATGAGCATCCTATCCTAAATATCAGGATTTCCAGGGAAACCATCACCTTCCGGTGGAATTCCCAGCTGGGTTTGCCGGGTTTCTGCTGCCACCCATGAAAAAGGGGTTTAAAAGACCCCAAGAAAGAAATTTAAAAGACCCCAAAAAAGAAATGTGAAAGACCCCAAGAAAGAAATTTAAATTAAATCTGAATATAAAGGTAGGTGGGTGCCTGAACCCCCCAAATTTGCCATCTCCACCCTCAGGGCTGTGGGGGAGTTGTGGGAATATGAATATTTATGTGCTTTTTGTGACCGGTGTTATCAGCTCTGCCCTACAAAATGAGGTGGAATTTTTTCCTTTCTTTTTAATGAATTCTTCAGAAGTCCCCCCCTCCCTGCTCCCGTTTCCCCCTCCTGTTATAGATTGGCTGACACTTCCCAGTCTCTGGAGGAGCCACAATCCCACTCTCCCCATTGCTGTGTTTTATGGATTGGCTCCATCTCCCAGATCCATCTGCTCCTAAAGGCATTTCTTCCCACCCAGCACCAGCAAAGGGCAACTTTATCCCAACCAGAGTGGGGGGGAAATGAGGCTAAAAAATCAAATTATTAATTTAAGATATTATTTAAGAGCATCCTCCCCATGTTTATTTTCACCTCCCTCGCCATTAAACCCCCCTCTCTACCCACCCCGTGGTTAATGGTTTGTCAGCATTTCCATTATAAACCCCTATTTATTATTCTGACAATGGCAATTTATATTGGGAACAATAGTGCCAGAGTGAATAAAAATAATAGGACTCTCACAAGCAGCGAGGTGACCTGAGCACATCGAGGAAGTTTTGCTTTCCAAGGGTTTTTTTGCCTCAATCCCTCGCTCCCCTAGCAAAGATTAAACCTGTCTTGCCCATCATCTATCTTCAATTTGGTTGGGAATTTTAATTTCAAATAGATGGAGGAAAAATCAAGATAATAATGAAAATGAGAAATAACCCGGGTTCTTTGCTGCTCAGCTATAAACAGTCAGTCTCTGGTGGAATATGTCACTTGAGAACTGAACTTGCTTGCTCTGATTTGGCTTTCTCGTGTTGTTTTTTGCTGCTGGTTTGGCGTGGGAGGGTCTGGAGGACACAGAGGGAATTAGAACACACAAAAAAGGCACAAATAGCAATAGCTGAGCTCAGGCAAGGCTGGGAACTTTACCTCATGAGGAAATCAAGAGGCACCTTCTGCTAAAAGGAGCATTTTTCCAGTTGCTTCCAAGTTTGCTAAACTGCAGGAACAAGGGCAGTGATTTTCCTGTTTGTTCTTGGTGTCCTTCTCCCAGCTCAGTGAACCTGCTTCAGCCATTTCTGAGGAGACAATTTATTCCCTTTCGACCCTTCCAGAAGGGCTGAGGCAACAAAGCTCTGGGGGCTTGAAACAGAGGAATATTTTTGCTTTTCCAACAGCAAGCTTTGAAAGCCCGAGAGCAGCCTGTTAAACTTCTCCAACCAGTAAAAATGTCCATGTTAGAGGGGTCAGAGTGAAACCAATCCCTGGGAATATAAGCATGACTTCTCTGTGACACAGCTGCTCTCAGCTGGCTGGTGAGAGAGGGTGGCAGAGGTGCACAGATCTTCCTTAAGAGAATTCATGTTTAGGAGGTATTAACATTGGCTTCTCTGCATTTCCTTCCTTCTGTATCCATGTTCTGACAAGGTTCTCTTTGAGTTCCTACAACCAACACACATTTTGTGGCAAAACCCTTGTTTTTGGAGACAGGGCATCCCACCAGCCAAGGAACAGCATCTCTTCTCCCTGGAACTCCTTCATGCCCAAAGTTTGTGAGGATGGGGGCTGTTGATGACCTGTCATAAACCTCCACTGGTGGTGGCCATGGGAAAGTCTCTTCCACGTTCTTTTTGCTGCTTAAAATCCCTTAACCCAGTCGAATTTCGAAATATCTGCAGGTAACTCCTGTAACCTTCTTGAAGCCTTGGGAGACCCAGTTTTGTGCACAGAAGGATTTAGGTGGCCCAGGTGGGCTGGAGACTTGCCATAAACCCACCAAGGGCACCCGTGGGGCTATGGGGGGGGTTGTACTCCCAGCAGGAGCTGAAGGAGGTGCAGGGATGGGGGAAGAGCCAATGGGGGACCCTTGGAGGGGTCTGGGGCACCCCAACCCCCAGTGACACGTGGGGTGGGAAGAGGTGGCAGTGAGCTGGGTGCTTGTGTCACATTCTTACTGTCTTGTGCCTTCACACCATGCCAAGGTGAGAGACAGGTTAAAAGTGTTCTAAAGGATCTGGGATAAGGGCTGGAAGAGGAGCAAGGCAAGGGAAATCCAAGGGGCTGTGGAGATGTGGGGCTGGGATACAGCTCGTAGGCATCTGGGGCACAGTGCAGCTTCATGGGCCACCTCAAAGGACCCTCTGGACCATCTGAACACCAGTGGGGTGGATCTGAGCTGGGATGGGGTCCTTCCACGACCCCCTTTCCCCACTGAGCTCCAGAAGGGCCGTTCAGCCCTTCTCCTGGTGGAGCACACGCTCCTGGAGCCCGCTGTGGAGGGCAGGGGGAGAAGGGTGGGTTTGCCTTGGCTGGGTCTGGACAAGCTGGAACGGTGTGAACAACTTGCAGGGTGTGAGTTCTATTTGCAAATTTGAAAGCAAACATGAGCTGTAGGTGGTTTTTGTGGGAGAGGCAGCGATAACATTGCGGGGTTGCCATGGGCCCGGAACGGTCGGAGATAACGGAGAGCCGACGCCTGGGCAGATAAAACAAGGGTGAGCTGAGAGAAAGGGGCAGAGGGGAGTGGGCACAAAGCCCCCTTCCTTCCCCTGGTTTGGGTAAACCACTGGAGATGTCCCAATAGTCACGGGAGCCCCGTTCTCTGCTCCTTGGAGAGGGAGCTTGGCCTTGGCAAGAGCTGTGTCCTCACCGAGCCTCTTCCCAGCGTTTCCACGGGACATGGGAAACCCTCTGGCCCAAGCTTTCAACCAGCAAGCTGGAGAGCAATCCATCCTTCAGCCACTCCTGGTTGTGGACATCTCCCCCAGGTGGTGCTAAAGATGCTCAGACTTGTCCTACAGCTTTCCTATCACCCAACCACCTCTTGGGGTGTGCTCTGAGCCAACAGGTAAAATTCCCAGGTGACCTTCTGTTATCTGGGGAAATGGGATGATGAGTTTTTGCAAAGGGAAACATATTTTTCCCTGAGTGGTTCAGAAACAACTTTTAAAAATAAGCTTAAAATCAGAATTATCTGAGAGGGGCAGAGGAAATGTGCTGGGGGAGGGGTGGGATGGAAACAAGTTTAGGTTTTTTCTCCAGAACTTTGCTTCAACCAACCACTGAGGAAGGTGTTTGTGGGAGCTTTGACTTCCCACTGTTTCCAAGTGCGATGCTGATTAGAGAGTAAGAAAGAGCAAATGCTGGGATGGCTGGATAACACCTTAGCCAATATTTTTAGGGATGAGCAAACAGAACCCCT